AAGAACATGAATCTTCTGGTTAAGAATGGTTACCTCAGAGATAAAGAAGTTCATACGTTGGAATTCTGTGAAGAGTGTGTTCTTGGGAAAGCTCATAAGTTACCATTTCCTACTGCTAAACATGTTACTACTGAGATACTGGGTTATGTTCATAGTGATCTTTGGGGTTCAGTGTCAAATGCGGAAAGTTTATCGGGTTGCAAGTATTTTCTGACATTAATTGATGATTTTTCAAAGAAAGTCTGGATCAGGTTTCTCAGGACTAAGGATGAAGCGTATGAAAACATTCTTGAATGGAAGAATCTGGTGGAGAATCAGGCTGGGAAAAAGATCAAGTGTTTACGAACAGACAATGGTCTGGAATTTTGCAACAATCAGATGGATAGGATGTGCAAAGATGCAGGAATTAAAAGACACAGAACATGCACGTATACTCCTCAGCAAAACGGAGTAGCTGAAAGGATGAACCGCACCATTGCTGATAAGATTCGATGTATGCTGGCTGAATCAGGTTTGGAAAAAAGTTTTTGGGCTGAAGCTGCTTCTACGGCTGTCTACTTGATTAACAGGACTCCTAGTGCCTCAATCGATTTCAAAATTCCTGAAGAAGTTTGGTCTGGAGTTAAAGTGGATTTCAGTCATTTGAAGAGATTTGGATGTGTTGCTTACGTGCACACAGTTCAAGACAAGATGAGTCCAAGAGCGGTTAAAGGGATTTTCATGGGATATCCTCAGGGTACTAAAGGTTATAGAGTCTGGTTGGTTGAGGAAAGGAAATCTACAATAAGCAGAAATGTGGTATTTGATGAAGCTGTGTTATACATGAAAGCTAAAGGAGAAGAGGTGGAAAGTTCATCGAAAACTAAGAAGGTTACTTTCAAAGCTGATCTCATTCAAGGTCCATACGAAGGAATCTCATCTAAGGAGATAGGCTCAACATGAGGTTCAGGACGTACAGATGAAGGTGGAGTTCAGGCAAGAAGTTCTACGAACTCTGAAACTGAAGATGTTGAAGTAGACAAGGAAGGAGAATCAAGAGAGACAGCAGAGTCGTTGAGCGATTATCTTCTAGCTAGAGATCGAGTTAGAAGACAAATCAAACCTCCTGCTATATTTGAAAGTGGAGATTTTGTTGCTTATGCCCTAAGTAGTGCTGAGGACATTTCAATTGAGGAACCTAAGTCTTATACTGAGGCTATAAAGGGTAAGGATAAAGAGAAGTGGCTTGCATCTATGAAAGAGGAAAAGAACTCTCTTGATCAGAATCGCACCTAGGATATTGTTGAAAGGCCTTTGAGACAAAGAGTGATTGGTTGTAAGTGGATTCATAAGATCAAGGAAGGTATTCCAGGGGTAGAGGATCCGAGATACAAGTCACGACTAGTTGCAAAGGGCTATTCTCAAGTTGAAGGAGTTGATTACAACGAGATCTTTGCACCAGTCGTGAAACATGTTTCTATCAGGATCATTCTTTCGTATGTGGTTAACTTTGATACTGAACTTGAACAGATGGATGTGAAAACAGCTTTTCTACATGGAAATCTTGATGAAACGATCTACATGGAACAACCTGAAGGTTTTGTTGCTAAAGGAGATGAGAGAAAAGTGTGTCTCTTAAAGAAATCTCTGTATGGTTTAAAGCAATCTCCAAGGCAGTGGAACTTAAGGTTCGATACGTTTATCAAGTCAGTGGGGTTTAAGAGATGTATCAAAGATCCATGTGTCTACATGAAGCAACTCAGCTCAGGGGAAGGAATCTATCTTCTGTTATATGTAGACGACATGTTAATTGCAGCTAAGAGCAAGTCTGAAATTCAGAAGTTGAAAGAAAGGTTGAAATCAGAATTCGAAATGAAGGATCTTGGCTCAGCTTCTCGAATTTTAGGCATGGATATTTTAAGGGATCGAAAGAAAGGAACTTTGAAGCTGACTCAAAGTAGATATATTGAACAGGTTTTGAAGACTTTTGGGATGGAATTTTGCAGGTCTGTAGTTACTCCTACAAATGCTCAATTCAAGCTAAAAAGTCTTACAGAGAAAGAGTGGCTTCTGGTATCTAAAGAGATGGATTCGGTTCCGTATGCAAGTGCTGTTGGGAGTCTTATGTATGCAATGGTGGGGTCTAGACCTGACCTCGCATTTGCAGTTGGACTAGTGAGCAGGTTTATGTCTAAGCCTAGTCGTGATCATTGGGAAGCAGTGAAGTGGATACTGAGATATCTACAGGGAGCTAAAGATGTTTGTTTAACGTTTTCAAAGTCAGGACACTTTGAGATTGAAGGCTACAGTGATTCAGACTATTCAACAGACCTCGACAAGCGAAGATCTGTGACAGGGTATTTGTTCAAGGTTGAGGGAAATACAGTTAGCTGGAGGTCATCTTTACAACATGTTGTAGCTTTATCTACAACAGAGGCTGAGTATATGGCTTTGTCTGAAGCGACAAAGGAAGGGCTTTGGTTAAGGGAGTTTTGCAGTGAATTGGGTTTTGAATCTAAAATTTTTAAGCTACACTGTGATTCACAGAGTGCTATTTGCTTAGCTAAAAACTCAGTTCATCACGACAGGACCAAACACATTGCAAACAAGATTCATTTTATCAGAGACATTATTGATATGGGTCTGGTTAACGTCCTAAAGATTCATACTACTCTAAATCCAGCAGATTTGTTGACTAAGACATTACCTGGAAACGCGTTCGAGAAGCATCTCGTAACGCTGGGGATCATTTCCTGAGCGTGTATGGAGGTACTCCGAGATGGTTCTGTTGTTTTGGCCGTCTCATCAGGTGGAGTACATGTAAACAAATAGACAAGTGGGTTAGTTACTTTTCTATTTGGAAAAACAACAAGATAAAACTAACATCAAGGTGGAGTTACTTACGCTGGAGTAACTGGTTCTTCTCCAAAGAGGTTCAAGCGGTTGTTATCTGTGAAATTCATTGCATTAGTGAATGTGTACAGATTCTCTTGAGTTCTTCATCGCTTATCTCTATTCGAAGTGTTCTAGAGATTGACTTACAGATTTGCAGAGCTGTTTCTTCAGGTTCAGCAAGAATCTCAGGAGTCGGATTCATGATTTCATCTGGGTTTGTTCTTGGAGGTTCAGGTTGGGTTTCTGGTATCTGATAGTGCTCTGGCAATGTAAGGGTTGGAGACTTTATCGTCTCATTCGAGTAGATGAGGAGCTCTGGGCTTTGTACGGTTTGGGAGAAGGGGCTTTCTGTTTTCGTCGGTGATGGGATAGGTTCGTTGTTTGACCCGCAGTGGCCGTTTGAATCATTCTGACTGGGTTGTGGAGATTCCGGCATGGTTTCTGTTCTGTGAGGAAGAAGGTGCTTTCGGCGAAGGATGTTTTGGTTTGAGTTGACCTAAACGTCAAGGTGGAGATTTGTGAAGAATGGTGACGTTTAAGTCTATGGGCTTATCGTTTGGGCTTCGGATTCATTTCTTATTGGGCATTTATTATGTCTGGCCCAAGGTCGAAAGGATAAGGTTTTGCCGTTATGGTTTTGGGTCCCACGAGTAACAACCATCGTCTTCTTCGTTTCTTATAAAGAAGAAACAGAGGAGTTTTACAGAGAGTGTGAGAGAAAATACAAGGGAGAGATTACAAAGCTGGAAAGAGATAGCGAGACTAAGAATAGAGAGATCCTGAAGTTGATCACAGCTCTTGAGGTCACGGTGCTATCTCCGGTTCATTCTACGTGCCGCCGTCTTCATCGGAGGTCTCGGAGGTTGAAAGACTGTCATCTCCGTCGTAGTCGCTGACGTAATCTTCTCCGGTAACTGCTTTGTGTATCATCTTGTAATAACTACAAAACGAACACAAAGCGATATCAGTTGAGATATCATCACTTGTAATCGGATCGATTATAGTGAATTGCTAGCGGTTTGCTGGCCCCGGTGAGGTATAGCAGCCACACTTAGTTAACAGTGTGGTGTGGTGAACACCGGGTAAAAACTCTGTGTGTTTTCTTTGCTTGATTCTTCGAACTAGATCTTAGAATTTGACCTAACTCATCGACAAAGGAATTCTAAGAACCGTAGATTAAACCTAGTTGATNTAGTGAATTGCTAGCGGTTTGCTGGCCCCGGTGAGGTATAGCAGCCACACTTAGTTAACAGTGTGGTGTGGTGAACACCGGGTAAAAACTCTGTGTGTTTTCTTTGCTTGATTCTTCGAACTAGATCTTAGAATTTGACCTAACTCATCGACAAAGGAATTCTAAGAACCGTAGATTAAACCTAGTTGATACCTAACAATAACTTATAAGTAGTGCTAACACTTAAGAACAGTATGAGTATCAACAAGAATAAAAGATGGCTGAATTACATTTTATTTTATATAATTATGTGTCACACACATACATGCTAAATGTGTAAATGTTCTTTGCATCAAATGCATTTGGATCACCCATCGCCACATGGTATTGAAACTGCAAAGAGTCCCTTTCCACATCTTTATTAACTCGAGGGCGGTGATTAACTATAACGAATAACACAATTAGATTTAACAAGTCTCTTTTAATTACTTAAAATATCAAAAATATAGTTAAACTTTTTGATTTTTCTAAAATAACTTTCAGCCATATTAGATTTATGCACTAGTCTATTATATTTTGTCTTGTACTAACCGCCGGCACTTAAAATTCAATAAAAACTTGTTTGACAAGATAAATCAATTTAAAAATTAAGAAAAGAGAGCCAAGTTTATATTACATGAAACAAACAAAAAGCAACTACCTAAAGTCACATGCCTTATAGGATTAACCTAATATCATATGCCTGAAAACTCCGTATTTTACGCGCACTTATAATCATTGGGTCATCATCAGCAAAATCATATTATTATCTTCAACGTTTTTCCGCTAATTCCAAGTCATATATAATTATTTGTACGTATATTTTAATTGAAACTAGCCCTGTGATTTGACTATAAATAGGTCATGGAGTCTGAGTCTTATGCATCCAACTCTACAATCATCAACGTCTTCTTTTATCATAAAAACCTAAGAAGTTTCTAAGAAAATGGCGAAGATCGTCTCTCTTCTGGTCGCAGTTATCTACTACACTATGTTCTTCATGAAGATCAGTTCGGTTTCTGCAGGGTGGTTACGAGCTCATGCGACCTTCTATGGTGGAAGTGATGCTTCTGGTACAATGGGTAAGTTCCCAAACTAGGGCTTGACATTTTCTTATTCGGTTCAGTTTAACTTAACACTTTAAATTGTATTTTTTTGGAGAAACTTGTATAATCAAATAACTTGGGTTTGGTTCTGTTCAATTCTATATCTAATTATCTACAAATAAATATATTTAATATGTATTCTTTTTATTATATGAACATTTCATGTGTTTTCTTCTTCTTCAAGAAATAAATTTATATATTTTTATCCTCAGGTGGAGCTTGTGGTTATGGAAACCTATACACGGATGGTTACAAGACAAACACTGCGGCATTGAGCACGGCACTGTTCAATGACGGCAAGTCATGTGGTGGATGTTACCAGATCGTCTGCGACGCGTCCAAAGTGCCACAATGGTGTCTTAAAGGCAGATCAATCACAATCACTGCCACAAACTTTTGTCCACCAAACTTTGCTCAAGCAAGCGACAATGGAGGATGGTGCAACCCACCAAGACCTCACTTCGACATGGCTCAGCCTGCCTTTCTCACCATCGCTAAATACAAAGCTGGAATCGTCCCAATCCTCTACAAAAGGTAATAACATTACAATTTCTACTTAGTGCCGGTCCAATACTTTTGGATGCTCTAATCAAAATTTTAACATGTATTTTGTATTAAAACTTTATAAACCAATTCAAGTTTAATCATTAGTAAAGATAACCTTTAATTGTATAGCAATGTTAGTCAATGTTACTATTTATGTTTTCTTGTGGATCAAGAATGTCATAAAATAGTGTGCTTAAAGGGTTATTCTTCTTGTGTGTTATAGGGTTGGATGCAGAAGAAGTGGAGGGATGAGATTTACAATGAACGGTAGGAACTATTTCGAGCTGGTTCTCATCTCAAACGTAGGAGGAGCTGGTGAGATCTCTAAAGTCTGGATCAAAGGCTCTAGAAGCAAGAAATGGGAGACTATGTCCAGAAATTGGGGAGCTAACTGGCAGAGCAACACTTACCTTAATGGACAATCTCTCTCTTTCAAAGTTCAACTCAGCAATGGAAGAATCAAAGCAGCTCTCAACGTTGTTCCTTCGAATTGGCGGTTTGGTCAGAGCTTCAAGAGCAACAGGGCCGTCTTTTTGCATGAGCAAGTGGAGCGACCGAACAGGGCCCAAAATTTTAGAGGGTCCATAAAATATATTTTTTTAGTAATAGTTAGCAATATAAAATAATATATTTGTAAAAAACATTCAGATATCTATATTAAATTTAATTTCGTATTTACTAACCAAAAATAATAATTACAAATTTGATTTTGTTTACA